CCACCAGGGTACATGCACCTGCAATGTTTGGTGGACAAAGACATCTGCAAGCTAACCAAAATTTCAGACAGAATCAGTGAATGTTTGAGGTGTATCGTCTGCACCAAGGGTGTCGAAGGTTGGCCGTGGAATGACAGGGAAGGGCCGCTGGAGCGGTGGGAGATGCTATGTGTAAAGGTACGGTGGGTGTGCTGATTTGATTCTGCAAGTGATTTTATTTTTTAAATTGTTTTTAAAAAATTAGGCTGATGCTTTTGATGCAGGGGACTTCCTTTAAATCTATGTTTTGTAAATGGAGTTGCCATGTTTTTAACTGAGGAATTTCTGTCTAACTGTGGCTGTCCAGAACAGAAGTGCTCACCGGCCTCGTACTAGCTAGAGGTAGAATTCAGGTGAATATTGCTTTAATCTCTCCATTATTTACCTATTTAAATTAAATATTCTTTTGTTATAACATTTCCTCTTTTATTTTTTTTTTTAATAAGCAGAGTTTTTACTGTAAAGTTGATGGTGAATTTTGTAAATTCAGAACAGTGTACTTTAATTAGATTATCTTTGCATCTTCATTCATAAAAATCAGAAAAATGCAAAATGGCCAACATCTTTGCTCTGATTCGGCTGTCTAAGTAGTCATAAACTATTATTTTCAGTTAGGCATGTTCTATCTCTATACTCTGTCAGTATCATGCATGACAATGGCAGCAATACAAGTTCATAGTCTCTTTTCTCAAATGATTTTGCCAAAATGTTTGCAGCACCCCTGGTTTTAAGCAGTCTTTTTTTTTTTTTTTTTTTTCCCATTGTAATAATATGTATGGACTATTTTATAGTATATTACCAGGCCATCTAAACTATATTTCTAGTAATCCCTTAATAGCAACTAATAATTGCTTTTTATTATTGTTATTACAGGGTACCACTGGTCAGGGACTTGCAGCCATTGTAAAAGAAAAGAAAAGCATTTCATGATCTGTCTCATAGCAAGAGCAAAATATACTTAAATAGTTAAAAACATAGACAAGTGTTTATTTTTTTTATGTTCTGCTTGCTATTTTAGTCTAGGTTAGGATAGCAGTGATTGTTAGTTATCAAATTACTTTTTAGGTGACATACTTAATATGGGTTGAAAAGCCTAGTTATGTGTGAGGAGTTTCAAAATTACTAAAAATTAACACTCGTGCTGGCGTTAACTCTTTATAACATTGCTTGTTGTCAGCAAAAGTTCTTCAGTTTTAATGCAGCTCTGCTCTTCTATGTCCCAAGACCTTACGTTTTCTTGAGTGGAAAAAAAAAAAAAAAAAAAAAAGAATATTTTTGAAGTATTATGCTTGATATTTTTACCAATAGTAATAATGGTGAAAATGGATAAGCATAAGGACAAAAAAAGTTGTCTACGTACTAACCAAGTCAGGCTACAGAAAAAAATGGTGCGAAGCGGGTGAGTATTGTTTGTTTCTTTGCATTTGCAAAAATCCTTGGAAAAAAAGTATAGGAAAGTATATTAAAAAAAGATCATAATAGCAATAATAATTTAAAAAATAACTATAATAATTAGTATTCCCAGTATTCAGTATTAAGGTAAAGGAAAGAAAATGACCAATCTTTAGTCTCTCTTAGTCAAAGGGATTAAAAATAAGGTGAAATCAGACTGTGCATCTTCTGAATATCTCTTGCTCTGAGAATTATGAAAGGAGAGGCTGAGGGAGACGGCAGTGATGGACCCTTCCTGCCCGGTGCTGCCTGCGGCACCCAGGCTGTCTGCTCCCGTCACCCATCCCTCACTGATGTGATAACTGCTCTGGAAGTGTCTGACTGGGTTGCAGTGAGCCACTGCACTGCCGTGCACTAATTGCCACCTTCAATTACTCTGCTAAGAAGTTATGATACAGCCAGTGTTAAAGTAAACTCGATTTTCACTCTGTTATCCTCACGGATGTAATGTGTTTATTTGAAGAATTAAGGTCTGGCAGGCTGCCGCGAGTGACCTCTGAAGCCACCAGGCACTCGCGGCAGGCCCGGTGCCAGTCCCTCCTTTCAGCGGCTTGTATCCAACCTGTAAATGCTGCTTTCAGGTCAGCGTGGCTCGATGATGCATTGTTGGGCCACGTACACCACTTGGCAGGACTGACACTAAGGGACAGTGATGAGGATTTTGTAGCGGCGACATCCCAGAAGTTCACCACAGAGCCTCTGAAACAAAACCAGAGTGTGACGGGTCTCGGCCACCCAGTCCTTTGGTCTGCCGGTGCCCCTGACAGAGGTGTTGTTTGCATCTCCTGCTTCCACCAGAAATTTGGGAAGTGCACATCTTGATGTAAAGCCTGACAAGTTCCTGAAATGAGAAATAGTGTTGAGCATCACACATAGGTTTTGGCTGAAGGGTGGTCGAGAGCCGGCAGCCTGAGGAGAAGATCCTTGCAGGCCGCATGTGCGGTGTGCACTGTATGGGGGAAGGAATCATAGAATCATAGAATCATAGAATATCCTGAGTTGGAAGGGACCCTTAAGGATCATCAAGTCCAACTCTTGACACCGCACAGGTCTACCCAAGTTCAGACCAAGGAGACGACGTCTGGCTTTCTGAGGGACTGAGTTCGGTCTCTGCTCTGCCACTCGAGTTACGCAGTCATCCCGAACTCACGGATGTGTCAGGTGTTCCCAGGCAGAGCGCGTGTGTTAATTTTTATGTGCGGATTTTACAGCATTTTCTAATGATACTTAGCAGCATAAAAATGTTGGCACGCGTTGGAAATTGGTGAAAGTTCAGCCATCTAATTTGGGCAGGTTGTGCTTACAGGCACTAACACTTGCAGACAGTTTAATAACAGTATTTGGCAGTGTCTCTTAGAGCTGCTTAAACTAATTAATGCATTTGCTCCCTACAGGACGAAATTGAGCTTTCAGATACTTTTATAAAATGATGTGCATGATCGCTAAATATTTCATTATTTTGAACTATAACTTCTAGTGTTTTATGTCGCTGCAGATACAGTATATATTCTCTCATGAAAAATGCACAGTGGCTCGGGAAGGAGATCTCTGTCCAATCTCTGTCCCTGCCTGTCGATGTGTAATTGTTTTATTATGCCGTATTTTAGCCTGTTAAAAGGCACTCGATAGCTTGGCCGCGGCTCGGTGCGGTGACGACGCAGTGGTGCTCCCGGGGGCTCTGGTGCTGCTCTGTCTTGCCGTGAGGCTCGCATGGCTGCTCCTTCCTCCTCGGCATTTTGGGTTGCTGTGGGTCCCTGCACCACTGCTGGCACTGGCCAGGGGACCAAAGGGACCAAGGGGACCAAGGGGACCAGGGCTTGGGCTGTGGCAGCGCGCTCTCTGCGCATCGTGTGTCTAGGAGAGGGCACCAGGCAGTGACTGCCCGAAACCCAAGTGCTCAGGTTAGAGCTGATCTTGCTGGCTTGAAGAGGGGTTACACAAACAAGAAGTCGCGGCTTGGTTTGAAAGAAACCTTTCTGAAGAAATCACAGTAAACAAAATCTGTTTGCCTAAGGAAACCCTCCTAGCAATCAGCTAGTAACACAACTGCTTGTGCTAATGAACCCAAAGCTGTTAATGTGGTTTCTTCAGTTAAATTGATTCATGAATTTTGAAGAGAACATTATCTAATGAATTTTCTTTGAATAGAAAGCAATTAAAAGGACAAATCAGTCTGATTAACCCCAAAGTCACCCTACTGCCACAAATGGTGTACAGTTTGAAATTATATCATAAAAAACTAGAGCAGATTTGCTATCTCTTTGCCCTCTACTAATCCATGTAAATTAATGAACAACAAAGTTAATTTCTTTGATGACCCTTTTCTCGTATCACCTGGATTATGCTGATGTTTAATTTGCTTAATGTTATAATAAAGACTAAACAGATTTTTTCAATGAAGTGATTATCATTCCCTTCAGTTAAGAAGTGATTTTTATTATTTAACACATACATAATGGTGTATGGGTTTCCTTTAAGAACAAAATCACATTTTGCTATGTAACATAATCGATGTCTTTTTTGACAGCTACAGAAAGAAAATGTTTTTAATCAGTTTGTTTCTTTGCCAAAGCAGCAGACTGAAACTCTCAACAGGGCAAGAGGGCCTTTTTAAAAATATATATATATATATTTTATTTTTTTTGCCAACTCACTCATCTCAGTAAGTTATTCACTAGTTATTCACTAGATCTTCAAAGCTTTTTTGAGTCACTTGGAAGAGCAATAGGTGTCCAGCCCTGCTAAAATCTGAGAGTGGCTATTGGTTTTCCTTTTGTCAGATAATTCCTGGGCTGGGAAGGTAAAACCCTGAAATACAGAATGAAGCTGGTTCTAATACATTTGCTTATTCATTATTTCAGCAATTGGAACACTTAGAAGCAATTTGCTGGTGAATTAAAATTAAAATAATGGAAGATACATTATTTTTTTTCAGAGCCCTGTGTCATTAAGGATGTGCTGTACATTCAAGGTCACAGCTAGTCCTTACATTCTGTAATGTCTGGAATGCTGAGCAGTAGCTTGGGGGTCTCAACTATAAAATGCAGTCAGCCAGGATAATACCGAGTCCGCTGGCTCTAGGGCTTCTTCTGCAGTGTGTCCCAGCTGAAGTTGGAAATTAGCTGGAGATGCGAGGGCTTTGTAAAATAGGTAGAGCCGGTTATTTCTTCCCTTTTTAATTTGACTCTATGCTAATTTATACTCTGCCAATTTAATGGAAAAACCACATTGTATGAGTTAACAGGATAATTGTACTTGAAGCAAATTAAAAATATAGGAAAATCAAAGCCTTAAATCCTTTTTTATAGTGATCGGTTACTTGAAGTGCTCTTTCTAATAATCATGTATTTAAATATAGTAATATAGGATACAATAACAGGATGGTGTATTAGGGCTGTTTAAATTTAAATTAGAAAGTTGCTATTGAGACTGCTTTGCACTGGGTGTTTTGAGTATTTCATCTCGTGTTTTTCAGCCATGCATATGAACAGTACTCCTTGTTTTTGCAGATTCGTTCACCAAGCAGGTTTTGTGGACCCTGCTGAGAGATGTGAAATTTGGAGAGGCCATCTCTTACCAGAAATTAGCAGACCTAGCGGGCAACAGCAGAGCTGCAAGAGCAGTGGGAGGAGCAATGAGGAGCAATCCTGTAAGTTCATGTCAACTTTCAAATAAAGTTGATGGAAGATGGTGGATTTAGAGAGCTTTCTGGGCTAAATGTCATTAGATTAAATTTATCTGCTATGAAAACTGGTCTACCATGAGTAATAAGGTCAGTAAGTGTTTTTAATCAGCAATAATGCACAACCCAGTTTAATGTGATTTATGCCCTACCGTTTATGGTGTTAGATTTGGAAAAGAAACATCACACTTCTTTTAATTCATCAGCCTCTACACATTTTGTTGTTTTCAAACTTTCTTACAGATTAGGCGAGGGAAATCTTTTATCCCTCAGTACTGACATCATTTGACAGGGTGTGAGTAGCTTTGGATGTGTCGCCAGAGAGGATGGAGTGCTGTTATGGATGTACTTCTGAAAGTGTGGATTTTAGTTCTTGTAGGTACACATTTGAATCAAATCCCTAATTTTTAACATTTTTTTCCCATGCACTGCAAAATAGATGTAAGTGTCATTTCTCCTTTAGATCAAGGTGAGCTGAATTTAAAGCAACTGGAAGGAGGAGTCCTCAAGGTTAGCCCCGTGGATTTTGGAAAAAATCAGTTTCAGTACTTGGTCACTTTGTCCATCTTCCCAATCATTATCTTTCCCTTTTAGTAGTCGAGGGCTAGATTTTCAGATGTTATTTATGCACCTGAAACATGCTGGTTACTCTAAGTGAAGTTAGTGAGAATCAGTGCCACTATGAGGGTCACATCTACTAGTTGGGCTGTGTTTGCCTGGATCCTGTCAGGGGAAGCTCTCCTGAATGAGAGTGTTTCTGGACAGGAGTCAGTATATCATCCGCAGTGCAAGAGGCAGGAGGAGGGAGTTTGGTTCCCTAAAACCCCGGCGTTTGGGCTATAAAGGCAGATGCAAGGGGCTGGTGCTGCCACATCCAGCTGGCTTGTCGCTGTGCAAAGGAGAGCAAAAGCCAGTGAAGAAAATGCCCCTATGTCTGGTTTTACACATTCCCTTGCTACTCGCCTTAAAAAAAATAAAAACTTCTGTTTCTATTAATATCATTGCAGCTTTTTTTGCCCATTCTTCAACATATTTTTCCTCATTACCACTTGCCCTTAGCAACGTGTCTTTCCATACCCAAATACCTCTCTTTTTCTCCTGTGTTGCACCTGCCATAATCTTTGACCTTCTGTGTTGTTTTTGCGTGCAGTTCTCCCAGTTTTTTCTGTAATAAGGCACATGTAAGACCACAGCGTGTAGTTGCAAGGTGGATTCAGAAACCTGTTTTCACAAGAGCTGGTGGCTGTCCACAAAACAATAATAAGGGTTGGGGTTTTTCACAGTGCCATCACGAATTATCTTTATATTCCACTTCATTCATAAAATCGATCTGCATATCATGCATAGTCAGCCTGCATACTCTGACTCATAGGTCTGAAGGACCATGTAAAGATTTATATGGAAAATACGAGAAATGTAGTGAAAAGGTGCTCCCACTGAAGTACAAAAGGACTGTATTTGTGTTTGCATGTGGAATATGCGTGAAATTACAGATTAACTACAGGAGATGTCTAGCAATAAAAATGTGTTTTGGAATAGGCAGAGCTGTCATTACAGTACTGATTTTTTTATCATCAGCTTTCTATTATGAAATATTGGAGTAGTATTATATTAATAGAGCTCTTTTTTCCCCTAAAGCTATACATTACTATCTATAATACTATTAAAAATTCTGCTGTGGACAGAAACCACTGCAGCCATAGCATGGAGTGGGAAATAACAAAAATAAGATAGGACCTATTTAAAAAAAAATGCAGTAGCTTTGCTGTATATTTTCAGAACTATTTTCATCCTTCCTCACAGGGGAAAAAGCAGGAATTTTCACACCACAACCTGCTGTTACCGCTGCTTTGGATGCTGCTGCTCCACTGCAGCCTGAGGGCAAAGCAGGGTACATTTCTAGGCGATAGCAATTACATATCCTTTTGCACAACACTATATTGTTATTCTTTGAGAACTGTTTCCTGTAGGTTTGCATTGTATTGCCTTATCTTAATGTACACCATATTATATTGGAAAGCATTCCATCATATTAAAATAGTTTGTATTGTCAAGTACAATACAGGGTATTGACGGAACAGAGCTTTATGCTGCTTCTATGAACTGTCTCATATGAAAATCAGATATACACTTTAAATATCACAGTGTACTTCTTTATTGAGCTTGGAAGCTTAAACCCATTAGACATTATGCTAGTTTAAATGGCAGTGTGCTACATGTATCGAATTTTAGAATACCCATGAACATTGTACATGTTATAAACACACTTGAAGTCTGTTTATCAGATGAGATATTGGGCTTTAAATCTAACTAAACAGATCATTAAACTGAACACGTCATGAGAATTGCAGCATCATTAAAATATCAGCAAATAATTTAAAGAACTGCAGTGTTAACAACTGCTACACCTGTAATAAGATCTTCAAGGTATAAATACTGGGTTTGAGTAGCATTTGCCTCAAAATTGTTGCAGGAATGTGATGTTCTGTTAAGCAGAAGATCAGTAATTTCTTTTCACAGGAGAGAAGCTGAAACTTTGGTGAGTATTTTTATTAATGATTGCTGCAGAAGCTATGCAAAATCATAAGTTGTTTGCACCTTGAGATTCTTCCTTGATTAAAGGACTAAATTATAAGCACGATGACTAAATTATAAATGTGATTTAATGAGGATAGTGCTATCAGTAAAAATGAGGGCTTGGAATAAAGCAGAGGTGTATGTCGAACCTGACATTGCACTGCTCCTCAAATATATTGACAAAATTGTGTATCTTACATTTTTCCAGAAAATACCAGAACATTTCTCCCTTCTACAAATCATGGGTTGGTGTTTAATTTTGGTAGTGTGCATTCTACAGGTTTCCCTTTGTAGTGGGGTTGCTTCACATAATTCATACAATGACCTTCAACTTTATGAGAAGGTGGAATAGGTGCCAGCAGCAGCTGAAAGATGCGACATCTTTGCCTCAATTTATGCCAAGGACATGGCGGGGATGGCTCACCTTTTGCAAGAAAAACTTCAAATAGTTTACTGCGGTTCAGATTGATTGCAAGGTCTGTGGTCCTCAAAGGGAACCCATAAAGTTCAATTAAAAATCTCATTAGACTAGTATAGGAGGATCAAAAAGAAATCACAGAGACTCATGGGAAATGGCGAATGTTGGGCTGATTAGTCCAAGGCCATCCTAAATGACTGTTCTGTGGCTTAAATAAGACGTCTTCAGCGGTCTGTTAACAGCAGTAATAGCTGCATACGTTTTTTTATATTCTGTCTGATTGCCGATGGCGTTATTGTTTAGGCTGAAAGCGATCTGCGTGCCCAGGCGCTAAGTTCGATCTATCGAAAGTCGCGGGGATTATTCGGCCAAAATGTTTTAAACATTCGGGAGTGAAAAGAGTAATTGTGCATTTATGAGAAGACTGTGAAGTATGGATTTGAAATGTTGCGAACACATAAAACTACTTGTGCATTAATTCCTTAGGTGGCTGGCAATAAAGTTGAACCCATGCTGGTTCGCATTACAGTATTTGTTTCTGTAAGGGAATAGGGGGAGAAAAAGCAATAGGACACGAGCAAACTGAAAGATTATTTTTTGCTAAGTGTGATTCTTGTTGTATGTTATAACTTGATATTTCAGCTGTTTCCATTATGGCCTGGCTGATCTATTTTTGACAGTTTGGCAGTTTTCTGTAAGTCTCCAGTCCATCAGGCAGTATAATAGGACGCTCGGTTTTTCCATTGCGTCAAATTGAAAACTCTTAACAAGCGGAGCACCGCGGCGGAGCGCCGCTCTGCTTCATCCTCAGACGGAATTTGCTAAATGCAGTTCAAAGGCAATCGATACCTTGTGCAGGGAGTTTTTTTCCCCACCTTTTTCTAAACAAACGCATTATTGAGGAGTTAGTTTATTCACAGATTGCCATGAGCGTTAATGACCGCCCGAGTCTTGTTCTGCCAGTCACCCAGATGGCTGTTGATAAAGATTTAGCATCATGTTCTGAGTGTCAGGGCTGTCAGTAGTGCTGAACCATTTGACCAGAAGAAAAAACGCACAGGGAGCTATTGATTACAGCTTCTCAGTGTCACTTGTTCACCAGGATTTAGGTATTGATGAGGCTGCGAGTGAAAACAAGCTCTTTCCCTTGTGGGCCTCTACCCAGAAGAACAAAAGCAAAGTTGGAGAAAATATTCAGCTGGTGCCCGAATCAGAGGGATTCCGCTATTGATTGAAGGGCCCCTTCATGTTATTTTTGTTGGAGACAAATCTATGGGTTTGGAAGTTTTATAGCATTTGAGATAGGGTCTGTGTAAGTGATGGATTCATGTATTAGATGAATTAGATTTCACAGCATGAAGATTTCAGTGGAGCTATAATATTATGAGCTGCTTGGTTATTGATAAAAATTACATTAAATGTGGCTGAGGCATTAAAGCTCCAGACTAGGGTAGTACTCCCTCTAAAATGTCCTTAGGGCCCTAATAAATTTTAGCAGGTTTAATTATTTTAGTAGTCTGAAAGTTGTCACCACAATTAAGCCAAACCGAAGCAATGTTCAATATTTTTAAATTACGGAGCTGATAGAGCCTTTGTAATGCATTTTCTTTTTTATCCAACACTACGGAGAATGACGCATGGGCTTGGGCACATTTGGACAAACTTGGTATGAAATCCTTTATTTCGGGCGTGGAAGACTGCTGTATTTATTTCATACCCTTCATCGCAGTGGCTGCATTTTCCAGCCACAGCCTTTCAACTAGCAGTAAAGCGGTGCTACTGCAGCTCTGCTAGCTCAACACCCTGCCCTAAAAGAGGTGGCTCAGGAGTTCCTCTGCGTGTTCTGTCCCGTGGCAGTGGCAAATCAGTGCTCCTTTGCAACGGGAGAGTATCCTGGCAGAGATCTGAGATTCTCTGTTTCTCCTGGAGATCCAAACCACCTGGGCCTAAATTCCCCCTTCCACGTGTGGCATGATGCTGAGCAGCTGAGCCACACGTCCCTGAGGTTGGGATCCATCCTGCACCAACACGGGAAACCTGAGACCCTTGGCACGTGCCAGCTCTCTGGCTGCATGGTGACCCTGCTCCACCTGAAAATAGATTATTTTTTTTCAGCTTGGGCACAGCTTCCATATTCTCACACAACCTAGCAGGAGAAGGTGCAGATGGAAAGGTGTCAACTTATTTCCGTGACAAAATTCCTCTGCAAACGGACCCCTGACCTAGGGTCTTTGCAGCCTCCAAGCAGTTGCAAGGAACTGGCTCACAAAGAGGGTTTGGCCCCTTGTCTGTAGCAAGATTTACATCTTGACTGCCAAAATACTCTGATTCATTTTTTCTATTGTTAAAGAATTGCAAATTAACCTTGGATATTTTTTACAGTGTATTACGGCTCGTTACTGCCTTGTCACTCAAGAAAATCTGCCAGCAGTAACTGGTGCGAGTGGCTTGTAAAGCCCGAGAAATCCCCAAACAAAAAAACACTTGCAAAACCAACAACTTTAAAGAAGTCATAAACCAAGCATGTGATGGCGATCTAGAGGAAAGATTTTATTGGTACTCGCTGGAGTTGTCATGGATGCATAATTCACTTGTGGCATTGCCAACTCCAAATAAAGCAGCTATTTATAAGCATTTTTTATTAAACCTTGATTAACAATAAGCACCTATGTGTATTCCCTTGTAATGTGATAGCCTTTGGGCTGAGATTGAGATTTTAAATTTCAGCCATTGAAATTACTTAACCAAAACAAAAGAGCCCCCAAAAAAACAGTTTATGAAGGTCTGGCCCGTAGCTGTCCAGCTGCTTCGGGGTCTGGGTCTTCAACTCAAATATGAGCACAGCTGGAACTTCGCTGAAATAAATACGAAGTGTGGTAAAAACAAGTCAGTGTAAAGGATGTAATTTGCCTATGCATACGTGTATATAAATAAAAGTATGTATTTTTACTTAAAATATCCATTCTGTGGGAAAAAAAAAAAAAAAAAAACACTTTCTAGTAAGTTATTCTCACAGTTCTATCATTGCAATTGAATTATTCTGGAGGTACCAAAACAAAAACTGCATGATTAAAGATGATGTATTGCATTTTTTATGATGTGTACTTCAACTATCATAATCACCTGCAATAAAAAAAAAAAAAGTGTTTATGTACTAGTCTACATTATCAGTCTATTATGTAACTTCTCGCATTGATTTTTCAGAATCCCTGACATTTGGCTATAAATGATACAAAGTAGAAGGCATGAGAAAAAGTTCTTAAATTGGTTAGGTGTGAATTAAATCTCTCCTGTTGTAGGTTTTAAAAATTCACAACCCATTTTGGATTGACTTGCTGCTAAATAATAAATAATGCCATGTTCTTATATGGAATTTTTCAGCGGTGCACGTCGAGGTGCTATAGAGAGAAGAGGAATTTGCTGAGGGAGCCGAGGCTCAGGAAGCTCGTTCGTGGAAGTGCTGTTCTCACGTTTTCAGTGATCCCTGTTCCAGAAATATGACCTCTCCTAATGATTGTTAATAATGGTCCTGAACCTCCGTGCTATCCTTGTGTGTGTTTTGAGGTGTCATTGGTCATAGGTGTCGCATTGTTGTAAGCACGAGCTTGCTGCAAAAGCGTGCATGGCTGCATGTGCTGCATGCATCCTGAATGATCCTCCTTGCTTATCCCCCATGAAACATCCCATCTGAACTAAGTGCTGCCTGCACACAAGCATCATCTTGCAGGAGTAGAGGCGCATGAGGGAGGGTGCCTCACATCCCTGGGCACATCACTGCCCTCAGGGGATGGGGGCTCGGTGCTGTGGCTCTGCAGTATCCCCAGGGGCGATTCTGCTCCAAGTGCGTGCAGGGTCACGCAGTGCCCCTGCTGGGTGGGAAACAACTGCCAGCGCGCTTGAGAACATGGGCAACGTGACAATAATTCATCAAATTAACTCCAAGTCATTAGATAGGCGTGGGCCGGCGTCCTGTGGGCGCCCAGGCTGGGGTTTTTGCTGGGGCTCATTTCTCCCGACGCTGTTTCTTCCCTCCGAGCCAGGTAGGTGGTCGGAGCACGGCATCACCACGGGGCAGTCGGTGCCACGCACCCTGCTCCTGTGGCACAGCAGCGCAGACAGAAGCGAGGCCCTGGTGCTGTCCAGCAGGCTGCCAGGGTGGGCTTTAACGTGGATGTTTAAATCCCTGCCGCCACTAGCACGGTGGAAGGCGAACGCTGCTGCGGTAGTGGATTTATTGGGTGCAGCCCTTTCCCTCGCTGGTCTTCTCCAGCCACCGCTTTGTGTCACCCTCCGCTTCCTTTCTTATTTTTGTGTGTGTTGCAGATCCCGATTATAATACCGTGCCACAGGGTGATTCGCAGCAGCGGGCAGACCGGCAACTACGGAGGAGGGAACCTCATGAAAGAGTGGCTTTTGTCGCACGAGAAGCTCCAGAAAGAGAAGTTAGCATATTGATGCGGCTCAGCCACAGCTGCTCGACTGCCAAGGCACACAGCCGCGGATACTTGGCTTATAACAAGCTCTCAGAGCACCCAGCAGAATTCAGAAAAATGGTAAATATTTGAGTGACATATAAATATAATGCAACATCCGAAGTGAAATGTGTGGTGGCACCACTATATTAAAAAAGCAGGATGCGTCCTGGGGGATGCAGCTCATATGCCCTTTCTTGTTTTTACATTTTACAGCAGAATGACTACAGCGGTCCAGGCCTGTTGTGCGTGTATTTTGTTCCCATCCCCAGTCCTGTTTTGTTCTATTTTTAATGTCCATTAAAGCACGGGTAGGGGAGAGGGAGGGGCATGGCAAATGCGAGGTGCAAGCGGCCCTCTAAGGAAGCATCTGGCTCGCCGAGGGGCCAGCCCGCGCCTCCCTGCTCCTGCCCCGCCTGGTGCGCTTGTCCCCCTGCCAGCCCTGGTGCCAGGACTCCCCTCCTCTCTTTGATGTTTGCGCTGCTGAAATGCTGTTTTACGTAAACACTGCTTAATGGAGCACATTGAGATGCAGTCAAAAGGAAGCGGCTATTGAATCGCTTGTTCGCGGCTTTTCTTTTCGGATCGTGAGAGATGCTCAAGGCAGGAATAAAAATTTTGCTTTTGTGAATGTCGCAAAAAGCAGGTGGAGCTGTAGGTGCTGGCAAGTTGTATGGGAATATTTTAAATAAGCAGTTAGCTGAGCGCAACCTGGACAAAATATTAAAAAGCTCATCGTAGCTGCATCTTCATCAGCAGTGCCTTTCCTTAAGTGTTTGAATTTCTCCTTAGATTTTTGTAGTTCTCCATTACATGAAGCTTTATTTCCTGTAGCCTCTCTGAAGAAAGGATTCAAGAGATGTTAAGGCTAAATTTTGAGGTGGTTTAAAAAGGGTTCTCTGAAAGCGCGAGCCACCAGAAGCTGAAATTTTCAGTATGGGAATCATAAATTCCAACATGGAAATACTGATTTTTTTATGTCTTTTATCATATTTTCATAGGCGTCTCTTTAGAAATGCCATTGCTAACCAAGAAATTATTGTGTTACAATGCTTTAGTTAATGTAGTATTATTGATATCTCAGAATTACTTCAATAAAAAAACTGCTTTGCATGTACAAGTGTCTTTGTATATGTTTATAAATAAAACACAGTATATGATATATGGAGAAAATAAACTATACCCAACTGTACAATATAAAGCTGTATTTTTATCAAGGGTTTCTGGTGGCAATATAAACCACGAAAGCAAAGCTCAAGTGGTTTGTACGTGTCACCAGAACCCTGAGATAAAAATATAGCCTTATAATATGTACAGTTTGGGTGTATTTTACTTTCTTTTATAACATATGATACCAACAAAAGAACGCAGTATCAAGCAAACTTTAACCTTTTTCACATTTACATCCCTCGCTGTTTTTCGTATCGTGTTTGCATTTGCTCTTTCACATGCCTGTCTGTATTTTTGCCCACACAGTGAACCTCAGCACTTGGGCACCCAACTCCCGAGGGAATTCATGCTCAGAGCTGGCTGCTGTCAGTCCATCCACGAGGCCGTGTGGTGTTCGCCCACCCGGCAACATGGGGACACTTGCACATGGTGGCACTGTCACCAGCAGTGTCACCTTTGTCTGGGCAGCATCGACAGGGGGCGGCCCCCAGCCAAAAAGAAAGACACAGAGCCCACAGGCTCTGGTTTGGGGTTTTCTCAGCCTCCTCACAGCGGTGCTGGTGCCAGCCCCAAGTAGCCTGCAGCCTGCTCTGGGTGGAGGTCACGGCAGTTTATGAAAACACCAAAGAGGGGAAAAGATATTAAAACACAGGCATCCGAATACATATCTCTATATACGCATGCACATAAGGAAAAAAAAAAAAAAAAACCACTCGGAACAAGACAGCTATGTTCTTTTTGCCTGGAATTGGGTTCCTCTGACCTATCAAGTTTCCTCCCATTCAGCCTTGCAGTGCTTTGAACTGCTGACATTGAGACACTGTGCAGCCAGGCACGACAGCTGGCTCTGCAGCATCTAATACCAACACATGCTGTTTTAGCCCATTTCCAGAGACTAAGATAATGAAAGATTCAAAAATAATATTTGTTTTGGCGGAACTACATTTATAATGAAATAGATGCCCTTGACCATGGAAGAAACTGAATTTTGCGGTGGGTCATTCTCCCCCCTCCCTTTTTTTCCATACAAAACACTGCTCTACAGCCAGTCTAAGGCCAATGGAAATATTTAAAAGGAATATGTTGTATTTCCTGGGTCAGATTTACAGCAGCGTTGCAGCGACACTGGTTGTACTGTTTTATGCTGGAATGAAAAATGCAGATTGCATCCTATGTATCAATACCAAATGGTAAAGGGCCCCAGGCTCAGGGATTGTTACAGATCACTTTCTTGCAAGCAGAGTTTGCAACGTAATGAGCTCATACTGTAAGCATCTTAAACAGAAAAACCAGTTCATTGTAGATATAAGGCCATTTTTAGATATGTGCCCAAATCTTCTCTCTGCTCATGCAACCAGCTCATTTAGAATTAGAGGAATTAGTCATCGGATGAGGGCCAGAATTATTTGCCCCATAAAGTTGCCATTTAATTTTTCTAAACAGTTTTCAAGCACCACACTCCTTTAAAGTGGCACTTGATATTTGCTGCACAGCATATCGGTTGAATGATGAACAGTGATGTGGTTGGTAGGACAGCGTTATCACTTTCCAAATGCATTAAGTTGTAGACAAGGGGCAGTAATTTTAATCTACTGTTTCTGTAAACATCATAGATCATTATTTCTTCCAGAGATAGATTATTACATTTAATCATGTTTCCCATGTTTTACCAAATCTAAAAATCATAATATTTATAGTATGTATTGCAGCCCGGTCAAAGATGCGCGTTGCATTAAAATGTTTATTTGCTGTGATAGGTGGTGCTGAAGACCTGCTTTCCTTTAAAGAAAACGCAATAAAAAAATAAACCCACAGAAAGATTGCTTAAAAACTTAAAGCGCAGTAATCCAATGGGAGCCCTGTAAGATTTATGTACTATTTCAAGAGTAATTGCTCAGTAAGAATCTTATAGGAATGTAAAAAAATCCTCAAAGAATTGCATTTACAGATTTAATTGTAATTCCTTTTATATGCCTATAGAAATTGAACAGAAATGCCAGTCGAAGGCTTCTCTTTAAAACTCCCTGCCCTTGCTGGGTTGCTGCGCGCCTCCGGTCGGTGCTACCATGGCTGGATTTAAAAACAATGGAAAATATTACGGGCGGTACACTCACTTGCCATTAAAGCAGACAGGATATTTCAGTTACATTGATGTGCAAACACAGCTTGTCAAAGATCCATGAGCTATTTTTGTTCCAAATAACATGCACGGGGTACGAGTAACAAATAAATAACACTTAATTCGTGGCTTGAAAAGGTAGCATTTTTCACAGTTTTCTTATTTTTTTTCTTAGCAAAACCTGTAATCTCTCCCTGTTTTACAGGCTGGGACTTCCAGACGATTTGCTCTTAACATTGCTATTTTTGTGGTGCCCTCTTCTTGCCAAAGAAGAAATCTTGATTTCTTTCTCCTCACATTGCTGTTGTTTTGGGGTGGGGGGCAGCGAGCAGCGGCAGCCTCGGCCCCAGCACCATCGCTTCACCGCCGAGGCTCCATCCCTTCGCCCCTTATCAGCCCTCCCGGGGCTGATCCAGACCAGCCCCAGGCCCGTGTGAAGTAACGGGCGGGTGGCAGCGGAGCAGGGCTGGGGCTGGACCCGGCGGCACCGGCGGGCGACAGCGGGGCGGTCTGGGCTCCATCAGCCTCGCGCCACGGCCGGGCCGGGGAGCCTGGGCCTGGTAGCGGGGCCACGAGGTGAAAATTGACGTGAGCGCGGCGCGCTGGCAGCCCCTGTGATTGATGAAAGGATATTGTTAACGAGCCTTTAAAGTTTCTCGTTAATGGTCGCTTGCTTTTTTTTTTTTTTTTTTTTTTTTTTTTTTCCATTGAAAAAAGCCAGAAGAAAAAAAAAAAAAAAGGAAAAATTCCACATGAGCAGTAATTAAGATCGATCCCATACAGTATGTCGAGTTATCAATTTTTAAAACCCCTTTAAGTGCCGTACGTGGTTATTTTAAACAGTGCTTTTCATTTGGTGCTGGAGCATGCGGGCCAGCCCCAGCACCGCAGGCTGCCCCGTGCGATGTCCCGTGCCACCAGCACGGCCGTGACTGCCAGCAGCATTCAGGCCATGTACCTGCGAAGCTGAGGAGCACGGTGCTGACAAGGAGCACGGTGCTGACAAGGAGCACCACGCTCACTCATGTCCAGGCATCTGCCATCCCCATGGGACCAGGCCCCAGCCACGGCCATGCTCCAGCGGGGGCCTGGTGTCTGCCGGGGCCTGCGTTCAGGTGGAAATAACCCTCAGCATCACCCATGTGGAGAGCACATAGCAGCTGCTGAGGTGGTGTAGTTCCACCTCAGGTAGTTTCACCTCATGGAAGACACGTGGCTTGGTTGAAAGGTGGACATTTTGGCCGCTTTTGTTAAGCAAGCACATGCTACGTGTTTTTTAAAACAGCAGTCACCATGCCCAGAGAGGACTGTGGATGCCCCATCCCTGGAGGTGTTGAGGCCAGGCTGGATGAGGCCTTGGCCAACCTGATCTAGTGGGTGGCGTCCCTGCCTATGGCAGGGGAGTAGAACTAGAAGACCTTTAAGGCCCCTTTCAATCACGAGCCATTCTATGATTCTGTGATTCTGTGATGATGTTTGAATGCAGATTTAATTTTTGGAGCAATGAGCAAGCAGCAGTCCTTCAGTGCTTAACTAACAGCACAGCTGTGGTACAATGAAATGCTTTCTTTATAATGCTCGATGAAAACATGCCCTTCTCCTTTCTGAACAAAGTGCTCGCAAGCAAACTGTAACAAAAAGACCACCTTGTAGTTACGGATAACCTCCTTGTAAGGGGCACGGGGCAACACTTCACCCACGCCTGGTGCACGCCTGGCTGGGAGCTTCTGTTGGTAGATCTGCCAAGAGATGGAGAGTTTTCCAAGAACAATCTGGCTATGGTAGCGTGCCCCGTTGTACTGCACCACCACTGACTAGGTGGAGTTGAAGCATTGCGGGAGCAAGCTCTGTGCTCCCCATGTGGGAGCAGGGATGTCGGCAGGGCCGGCTGGGCCGCACTCTGCTCCGCTCGCCGGGCCCCAGCACCGAGTTTTGGCTGCAGCACAGCCCCAGCCATGTTGGAGAAAGAGAAAGCAAATCCCCTCCGTTTGATCTGGAAGCTGCAGGAAGCTGTCCTTAACACGGTCCCTCGGGCCCGTGCTGCTGTAGCGGTTATGTCTCCTTGCAAGGCTTTCTGAAGCAGGCTTACTGCATAGAAATTAGTGAGGAGGGAGAGCACTGCGTGTGTCAGGACCCCTGCTTGCTCTTTGTGAAATGGAAAAGAGAGGCGTGAGCACAGAGCCTGGTTGAATCTCAGACCTACGCCTGGTCTCCACTGGCAGGAGTTGTTTCGGGGCTGAGTTTTGTGGTTTTACCTTTATCCAAACAGCGTCATCCTTCTCAGCACCTCCGTTCACTGCTGTTCACAAGGCGGAGGCACAAGCACTTGAGGAGGCACAACACACGAAAGCACAATTTGTCCTTGCAGCAGCTGTCAGACACCAAAAATACCTGGCAGAGACATAAAATAGGTAAGGGCTAAGGGACTGGAGCCTGTTTGTACAGTGGCAGCATCCAGGTAGCAGCCAGTGTGGGTACAAACCTCGAGCTAATGGCACCGTGCAAGTAAAGAAAGATGAGTGCCTGCTCCCGAGCCACAGTAAAACCACCCATACAAGGAAGGAGTTCTGCTGAGCTACATTCGATATGGCCAAAACTGAACTGGGAAGTAAAGGCAAAAATTGGAATGAAACTGATATACCTGCTCATGAAAGTTGCTTCAATGGCCATCAATGTATTTTGTGGCAGAAATGATGTTGCAAATGCAGTAAAGTGCAAAAAGAAGGGCACTTGATTGAAGCTTGGACCTCCGAATGTTGCTTGGTTTGGAGATCACCTCTGTAGCCACAGAAGCAACACTGGGAGGCTGCAAACTGAAGAAACGTTTGTGT